CCCTGCTGTTGTTCCTCTCGGTTTATGTGCGCCTCTGTTTTCTCTACTACTACTGCAAATATTTGGCCTCCACCCCGCCAAACTTTTTCAATGCTCTTAAGTCCTACTTCCTTGGTACCTTTTTCATTGCTAGTTCTCAGAGTGACTTGCTGACCTCCGGAGTTGAACTCCATAATTCCTGTTCGATAGTCGGTGGTCACTTTGCCTAACCCTTCGAGCCACTGTACTCCTAGGACGACATCCGGCCCAACCAAAGGTAAGGCATAGAGATCAGCCTTCACCGTAACTCCGCTGAACCTGATTGGCACTTTCCAGAAAGATTTAGTGCATTGCAGCCTCTCACCATTGGCTACTCGTACCTCAAAAGGCTCAATCTTCATGGTGGGTAAGTTCAGCTTCTGGGACAAGTCGGCATTGATGAAGTTGTGTGATGACCCGTTGTCCACGAGCACCATCACCTTTCGATCTTTGACCCAGGCTGGCAATCGCATCATTCGAGGCCCTCTAATCCCGGCCATTGCGTGCATCGAGATTTCTGCTTCTTCGTCGGGCCCCTCAACTTCATTATCCTGATGTGGTTCCTCCTCGACCTCAGATCCTTCCTCATCAGGGTTAGCAACTTCGATCACATAAGCTTGCTTACACTGATGACCTGGTGTAAATTTCTCCTCACACTTGTAACATAAGCCTTTCTCACGTCGACGTTTAACTTCCTCGGGAGACAGCCGCCTTACTATCGACCCCGCCGGTCGATTGCTTTCGTTTGGCCGTGCGCTGGCCGTTTCCTGGTTCGGTCCCGCGCGTCGTGTGTCCGTGAATCGCACATCCGCCCGTCCCCTTCGCGTAGTGACTATATGGTCTTCTCGCCGCTGGGCTACCTCCATGGTGTTATGCATCGTGTCTGGTCGCTCCAGTCGGACTTCTGCGGCTAGATCGAATCTCAGCCCACCTATGAAGGCTCCTACTAGCGCATCCTCAGACCAATCTCGTACGCGACAGGCTAGTCGTTCAAACTCCTTGATATATTCATGCAAATTGCCTGTCTGTCGTATTCGTGCGAGGGCCTCATTGTAGTTATGGTAATCGGACGTACCAAAACGTGTGATCAATTCTCTCTCAAAGTCAGCCCATGTAATGACCTCTTGCCGCTTACGGTAGATCCTTGAGAGCCACTGCCACCATACGTTGGCCTCTCCATCCAAATAGAATGTTGCGTACCTTACTCGGTCGTGGCCTTCGGTTTCATTCAGTTCGAAATATTGTGCAATTCGGTTGAGCCACGCCTCTGGATCACTACCCGTGAAGATGGACATCACGAACCTCGGCTTGTCGGGCTTCAGCTGTTCTCGGTAGGTGGATCCCTGCGACCGCTGGTCGAACTCCTCCTCGTGCTCGTAACCCTCGCGTCGTCGGTCCTCGTCATGTTCGCGCGCGCGCCGTTGCTCGCGTCGTTCCTCACGTTGTGGGGATGGTGTGCGTTCGGCATGCTCGGCGTGTTGGCACGGTTCGCGCCTTGGGTGATCGTCGCGTTGATGTGGCGGTTGCTGCTGGAACGCGCGCAATACCTCTTCTAATCGATGTTCGAGTCGTGTGACAACGGCGTTGGTGTTGTTTTGACTTTCATCAAGCGATCCAAGCCTCCCTTCCATAACCTCGCTCATACTTCGCATCTGGATGTCAATATTTTCGATCTTATCCTTCATCTCCTTGTTGGCCATGGCTTTTCTTTCTTCTCTCCGCTCTTTGCTTTGTGGACTCGTGGTTGAAGATGATGATGATGATGATGAACGAAAAAAATATATTTATTATTATTATTTTTTTTTTTATAAAGGGGGACGAAAGAACGACAAGAAAAGAAAGGGAATGGGGTAGAAGAAAAACACACGATCAACACCTCTCAATGAAAG